AAAACGATAGAAGTATGGATAGGTGAACAGAGGGAGGGAGGGAAGGATGGATGGATGGATGGATGGATATATTGATGGATATGTGGATGGATGGAGAGAGAGATAGGTAGAGGAATGGAAGGAGGAAGGAATTAATGGAACAAGGGAAGGATGGAGAGAGGAAGGAAAGGGTAATGGTAAAGCTAATTAAGTGAAATGTTAATGGCAGAATCTAATGGTTGGTACGTGCCTGTCCACTATACAATTCTAATTTTCGGTATGTTTAAAACAGTTTTACAATAAAATGTTGAAAAACTATAGGCAAAGCATAATAACTTTATAATAAATGTTTATTATTATGTAAGCATGACTGTGTTTATATAGACATTCAAACAGGTAGGTGTTGATTTAGATAATAGTGAAATAAAATAAACCCAAGTAATAATCGTAGTTATTTCTGGTAGCAGCATTATTGGTGATTTAGACTTTCTTTTTAGCACTCTTTTCTTTATTTCCCATATTTTAAATAGCAAGCCTGTATTACTTTGATAATCGGGGGGGGAATGGGGAAGATATTTAAGAAAAAAAGATCACTAGAGAAGAATGTTCAATGCCCCCCTATTCTCTTGTTTGCGACTGAAAAGCTGGGAACATCTCTGAAAATAATAAATTGTAAAGAACAGAAGATCCTACTGAGGCTCCCGTCTGGGCTATGACCCTCGCAGGCAGTTAGAGGGAAAGAAAACTGGAACACTTTTCTGGAGCCGGGCCAGGACGAGTCTGCAGCTAGGATTTGGGCAGCATGCTAAGGCACTCAGGGCAAGGGAAATAGTTTTCCCGCAGAGTACACTCTGGGAGAGGGTCCGGGAACTGAGTGGGGTGGTAGTTCTGACAGTCCCTAGAGCCTGTTTCAATCATAAACCCTGAGTTGAAGACTATGAGTCAAAATATAAATCTTGTTACCAATCTCTGTTCCTTCCAGACACACAAAAGCATTTCTGGGAGCATCTCTCATCCTGGACCAGGAAGAAGGACAGATGGTCCTGTGTGGGAGAGGCCCAGTCCCCACGATCCCAGAGCCCCAGCCCATCTCTGTTCTTGGAGCAGAATCTTCCACCCAAACATGCCAATTTTGAGCCACAACCCAGTTTCTAACCATATTCCATTTTTAAGCCCAAAGTAGGGGCAAGGCACCTTTTTTAAAAAGTTCAAAACCATGCTTAGAGTTCATAGTCACTGATAAATACTAATACCATCAAGGAGATTGGGAACTTTTTACCACGAAACCATGTAGATCTTCTGTGAAAAAAAAAATGATGAGTGAGTATGATGTTTGCCATTTCTTTTTAGATGTTGATTTTCCCCATTCAAAGTTTCTAGTTATAAATGGACTCTGTGAGTTATTTTAGACTTAAGCCGCTCACTCATGTAAGTCACATTTCACGCCAAGTCCTCATATTCCAAATTATTTTGTTGATAAATGATGTATTAACTGAGGCATCTCTGACCAGTGGAGAGAAGAAATGATAATTCTGCAATACTGGTAAAACTTGTGGCCAAAAAAAAAAAAAAATTCATTTATTGACTTGCAGCAAATACTTACCGCCCCTCCCCCAGATGCTGAGCATAGTAGAATAGTATAAAGTACAAAGAGGAGAACTGGGCTTTGAATATTCAACAAACTCCAGTTTGTTGAATTCTCTCTCTAGCCTTTCTTCAGAATGGGGCTGGGGAAGTCCAGTAGAAGATACCCACCCCAACCTTGCCTGCTCAGCCCCACGCATGCTCCCCAGGGTTCAGCTCCATGGCTGTGGCTCTGTGTTCCCAAGATTCTGCCAAAACAAAGAAAAAGAAAAAGATACATATCTTAATATGTATACATTAGGAATATACCTTAATGCATGTGCACGTGCGCACACATACACATATAATTTAGGAATGATTGTAGAACCTACATGGAAAGATCTCCAAGATATATTATTAACCAACAAAAAAAATATATATATAGTTTTCCCTCACTTGGAGATATAGGAGGGGACATTATACTATATATTTATATCATGGTTGTATATGTAAAGGTTATTCCCAGGAGGATAAACAAGAAACCCCAGGGAAGGGAACTGGGTAGATGAGAGACAGGAATGGGAAGGGGATTTCCTTTCCAGAGTGTGTCCTATAGAATCTTCTCCCATGCATGTATTTTCTGTACCAAAGAGTAAATTTTTATAGAATCATAATCTCACAGATATTTCAGGAATTTATTATGGGGACTGTACAATTCAGCCGTGATTGAATGTGTTCAAGACAGTGTTAGTAGATAAACCGTGTTGGGTGGTAGTAGTTGGAGGAATCATGTGGATCTCTCTTACGTGACTTGTATTTTAAACATTGTATTATGAATGACTTTAGACATAAGCAGATATAGGCAGAATATTGTAAATCAAGGGTCGGCAAACTCTTTCTGTTAAGGGGCTGCTAGGGACGTATTTTGGGCTTTGCAAGCCAGATAGCCTCTGTTGCAACACACTCAGCTCAACCAAAATTAGCCAGAGGAAATACCTATAGTTTTCCAATAAAACTTAATTTACAGAAGCAGGCTGTGGGCTAGATTTGGCCCTCGGGCTGTAGTTTGCTGACCTCTGATAAAAATAAGGACCCATCACCAGCTCCAACTACCATCAATCCACAGCCCATTCTGTCCCATCAGTTACCCCCCAGATTACTTGGAAGAAAACCCCAGACATCATATCATTTCATCTTCAGTGTTTCCAAACATACTTCTAAAAGATAAGGGCTCATCTTTTAACATCGTACCTGAAAGGTCAACAGTAAGAGCCCAATAGTCTCAAAATTCAGTCGCCATTCAAATTTTGGCATGTCTAAAAAAATGTGATACATCCTTACAAATGTTTTCTTGACCCGATAACAATTAAGGTCTGCACAACCCTTTTAAGTCTCTCTTCTCCTTTCTTACATCGATTCTAGTGGTATCTCTTTTAGCGCTAAGTTGGATTTTCCTAAAAAAACTGAATCTAACCTGTCTGAAGTTTTTATATTACAGTCTGAGGAACTGCCGCTAAGGGGACGGTAATGTCAAAATTATCTTGATCCAAACTGATGGTCACCTGGCCATGATCGGTTGAACAAATAAGTAGTGTTGCGCAAAGTTATCAACCACTTCCTTCCAAGGTTTTGGACATTTGAAGAGGAAAAATTCATCTGCTGTGCCAGCTGTGGCCCCCCCCCTAGGAATTTGTCCAAGTATTCAGGGATACATCAGAGATGCCTGATGAAGGGCTCCAGGGCTCCATTATTGATAAGAGGACACTGAAAAACACCTAAAACGCACAGCATTCGTTGCAACACTGGCTCATTAACTGGCTCATTCGATACAATACTGGTGGAATATTACACGATAATCAAAAATCGTCGTTTTTAATATTCCAATTGTAAGTCAGTGCTCTTGATAAAATATTAAGTGACAAGAAACAAACTCCAAAGCCACATACATGTATGATCATAGCTGATGAAAAGCAACAAAACGTTGCATCATTACCTCCAAAATGGGATTATATGGCTTTAACTTAAATACTTACTCTTTGGGGAGCTTTACGAATTTTCTTTAATGTGCATGCTTTACTTTTAAATCAGAACAGCAATGATATTGATAGTTTTATAAAGATTTCCAGGTCTTCGGTTGTCATTTCTAGCTCTCCCCCTGACCCCCAACCCTTGCTTCCTGCCCCTGTCTTGTAAATTTAGCAGGCATTAGATCATCCCAGTAATTTTGCTCAGGACCCAAAGGCCACCCTCCCCAGCCCTGGAGGGCAGCAGCATTGTCATGCCTTCACAAACCCAAAACAAATGGGACTTAAGGGCAATGACTCAACAATTCATCCCATCTGCAGAAATGGGACCCCATTTCCCACCAGGTGCTCTCCTTCCTTGGACCCTGACACTCTGTAGGCAAAAACCACAGCACGGGCTTGCAGGTGATCATGCGGGAAAACTAGAAACTGTAGACGTCCTGTGGTGGGTTGGAGGGTTACATAAATGACCGCCAGTAAGGAAGCAGCCGTTAGGAATCCTGTTGTGGAAACTGGCGAACAGCAAGGAAGGGGGCTCCCCATGCTCGTGGCTTCATGATGCTTATGCACTCACCCCGTATCTGTCCACATCTCCTCCTTCACAGAGTGGTGGGCCTGCTCGCAGTTCCTGGAGCAAGCCAGGTGTGCTGTGGACTCTGAGTTTTGCACTGGCCATTCCTTCTGCACGGTTCGTTCTTCCCTCCTCGCCTTCTCACTCAAGAGATACCCCATCCAAGATGTCACCTTCCCCGGAACATAGAGGTACCCATCATATCCCGCTTCCTGCCTTTCTGTTTTCTCTCTACTGTTCAATATCGAACAGGTAACATAGTTTAGTTATTTGTCTGTTTGATATCCACCAACCCCTGCCCCACTTGGAAGGCAAGATGCTTGAGGACAAGGGTTTTTGCCGTTGCTGCACACCCGGTACCCAGAGCAGCCCCAGCAGCTCTGGAAGGCGGAGTGATGGACAAATGAGCGATTTACTTTCTTTCATTGTGAATCTGTGTTTCTTTAATCTCTTATGATGAACAAACACAACTCCCATAGCAAAGCACCTGGTGAGCTGTTCTCAAGATGCTCCAGTAAGGTAATCGTAGGCGGTTACTTCGGCCAGAGAGGCACAGGAAACTCCTTAGAGAAGTTTGTCTTGGTGTCTCCCCTGAGCTCCTAGGGGGGCAGGTTTCGGGTTCACAGGCACCCACCACCCTGCAGGGAGAAGTCGTGAGATCCCTGTAGCCCGGCAAGTGCTGTCCCTTCTGACACCCTTGACCCAGAAGCTCGGGGGAGCATGGTCAAGGGGACCATGAGTGGGGAAGAAGATGAAGAGTGACCCCCTCCTGTGATGATGATGATGATGGTGCTGCTGCTGATGGGTCTTTGCCAGATCCTCCAGAATGCGCTGAGACTCCAAGTTTGCAGAAAGGGACACCAAGGCTGCAGAGGAGATGCTCGCCATAAGGGCCTCTGAACCACAACCGGGCCTTGACACCACACCCAGGAGGTAGGTGGGGAAGGAGTGGTGTAAGCCCAGCCCTAGAAATGATCCCTGAGCTGAGGAAAGACTCCAGGGTAGTGGGGTGAAAGCCCATGCAGCAGGCCGAGCAGGACCCCTAGCGGTGAGCAAACGGTGCACCGACCTGGGTGGGCTAGTGCCCAAATCACTAATACATTCTCTCCTTACCTGCATTTGGAAATCAAAGTTCCAACCGAGTAGCCTCCCTCTGGGGCTCATGTGTAATCTGGGGAGGGCTTGCAGGTCTCAAGAGGGAAGACATTGGACCTGCTGTGGTTAATTTAAGAAGACAAATTTTAATGAAAATGTGATTAAATACATTTAATAAAGTTTAATTACATAAAAATGTTAATTAAAGATGAAAAGTGGAGGGATGTATTTTATTCCTATCTGGGGACTGAAGTACTCCCCAGATAAGGGAGTTACTCATTCTGTCCATACATTTGAAATTAATTAATGACCTAGGAGGTAAATACATAATATATATGTGTCTTCTATGCAGTAGATAAATAAATGAATAGGCAAGTAGACAAACAAGTAAATAAATACGTTGTTTTAAAAGAGAGGGAGAAAGAGAGAAACAGGTCATCGAGTCTCGGCAGGATATGCACACAGACTCTTGATTAATGCGAGTTCGGCTTCGTGGAATGTTATGCCCGAGTTCCCATCATGAAGAAGAGGTCTGCATCCAGCCTGTAGCAAGGAGACAAACCTCTCTTTCAGAGCTGCTGATCTGTCAGCATCCTTAACCCTCCTTCGGTGGATCCTCTTAGTTATTAGTTATATCCTCTTAGTTATTCTTTTTTTTTTTTTTTATTTTAAAGATTTTTATTTTTATTTATTTGTCAGAGACAGAGGGAGAGAGAGTGAGCAAGCACAGGCAGACAGAGAGGCAGGCAGAGGCAGAGGGAGAAGCAGGCTCCCCGTGGAGCAAGGAGCCCGATGTGGGACTCGATCCCAGGACGCTGGGATCATGACCTGAGCCGAAGGCAGCCGCTTAACCAACTGAGCCACCCAGGCGTCCCTCCTCTTAGTTATTCTTTTAGTCATTCTGCTATTAGGAGGAACAAAACATTTCATTTTTATGTTGCCTCCTCATATCTTCTAGTTGGAAAACAGTTACAAAACAAGAGCCAGGGACCCACCACCCGTTGGTTCTATCTACTGCGGTGTTCATGGGAGGCCGCCATTTCTGAATGTGGCTGTGTTGAATGCCTTAAAGATAACTTTGGATCACATTCTCTGCAAAGATTTTAAGTGCAGCCCCAAATCTGTTAAATGAAAGCACTGAGTTTATATTTACAGCCTATTTAACAAAGCCAACACAGGGTTAGGTATAAATGCTTATGCAGAAACAGAGTTGAAATGGGGCACGCTGGGAGAAAATGGTGCAAGGGGAAAGGGTGTATTAGTCATGGTTCTCCAGAGACATAGAACCAAGAGAAGATGATGAATAGATAGATAGATAGATAGATAGATAGATAGGATGGATGTATGGATGTATGGATGGATAGTTAGTTAGTTAGTTCTTAGAAAGAATTGGCTCATGTGCTTAGGGAGGTTGACAAGTCCCAAGATCTACAGTTGGCACTCTGGAGATCTAGGAGACCTGAAGGTATGTGATCTAATCCGAAAGCTGGCAGGCTTAGGACACAAGAAGAGCCAATGTTTCAATTCAGCTGTGAAACCAGGAAGCAACTGATGTCCCAGCTAGCTCCAAGGCAGTCAGGCAGGAGGAGTTCCCTCTTACTCGGGGATGGATCAGTGTTTTTCTTCTATTCAGGCCTTCAACTGATTAGATGAGGCCCACCCACATTCCACAGGGCAACACACTTTACTCAGTCTACTGATTGAAATGTTAACCTCATCCAAAAACACCCTCAAAGACATACCCAGCATGATGTTTGACCAGATACCTGGGAAGTCTATGGCCCAGTCAAGTTGACACATAAAATTAACCATCACAAGGCATTTAGCAGGATTACACAGGGAATGGGGTGACATCCATTAACTGGATTCATGGGAAAAATTATGTTCAGTTAAGTACCCAATTGTGAAATTATTCTTCTCTTCAACTGAATGAATGTTAATTAGCCATAAATGCAAGGCACATGAAAGGATGGTCAACATCATTAGTCATCATCCATTAGAGTGGCTGAAGTTAAAAGGACTGACCACACTAGGACCTGGTGAGGACACCAAGGAACTGAGGCTCATGGATATACAAAATGGAGTAGCCACTCTGGAAAACAGCTTGGCAATTCCTGTAAGCATTCACTTACTTTATGATTCAGCATTTCCACTCCTATTTCCACAAAAGTAAATGAAACCATATGTCCACAAAAAGTCTTGTAAAAGAATGTTAATTGCAGCTTTGTTCATAGAGTTAAAAACTGGAAACAACCCAAATGTTCATCAATACAAGAATGGATAAACAGAATATTCATGCGATGGAACACTACTGAGGAATAAAAAGGAAGGAACTTCTAATCCACGCAACGACAAAGATAAATCTGACAGACGTAAGTAAGACCAAGCCAAAGAAGTTCAAGAATATATGAAACTAGGGATGCCTGGGTGGCTCAGTGGTTTGGGCCTCTGCCTTCTGTTCAGGTCATGATCCCAGGGTCCTGGGATCGAGCCCCACATCGGGCTCTCTGCTCAGCGGGGAGCCTGCTTCCCCTCCCCCTCTGCCTGCCTCTCTGCCTACTTGTGATCTCTCTGTCAAATAAATAAGTAAAATCTTTTTAAAAAAAAAGAATATACGAAACTAATCTATAAAGATAGAAAGCAGATTGACAGTTGCCTTTGAAGGGGAGGGAGGATAACCAGAAATGGGTATCAGGGATCTTTCTGGAGTGCTGACAATGCTCCGTATCTTGATAGGGGATTGGATGGTATAGCCATAAATGTTTGCTAAACTCATTTACTCTTAAAATCTGTGCATTTTACTTTATAATTAGGAGAGTAATTAAACATCTTACCAGTAAAATTTTGCAAAAGTGCAAGTCCCAAGACTGGTATGAGACCAACCTTTAGAGGTGAGTGAAACAAAAACCTCCAGATTTTCTTTGGCAAAGACAGTAGGTACTTTGCAGAATGAATTGGAGGGAAGCCGGGTCTCTGGGAATACAGCAGACAAAATCCTTGTCATTAAAATAAGAACTTTGCTGAATCCGAGACTGAAAATAAAGGTCCAGAAACAAAGAACCCCCTAGCACTATATCCTGGTACCGGTAAGGAAGTCCAAGGACCGTGACAGAAGTACAAACAGAATCAGGATCAGTAGAACGTATTGGACACAAGGAGAGCAAGCTCCAAGCCGAGAGTGAACGGTATTCCTTAAGCCATATCAAACTAATTGTTTTGGTAATCCCTCAAACTTCCTTTCATGATTGTTGTAAATATTTGACTTGAGCTAATTCTACAGCAAACTATCGAGTTCTCATTCCATCGGTGGATTTGTTCTTTCTCAGCTAATTTCAATGTTGTCTCCATGAAGTCTTGAGTGGAACAGAAATTAATAGCTAACAGTCACTGAGAACTTAATAGGTACCAAGCACTGTGCTAAGTACTCCACATGCATTAATTCTTTTAATCTTGCCCCACCCATGAAGCAGATATCAGCTACAGAATCCCTGTCTTACCAATGAAGAATCTGAGGTTCAATGGGGTAAAAACTTTCCTAAAGTTAATGAGCTAGCAAAGGAGAGGCAAGATTCAAACCCACGCCCTTGGACCTCAGAGACCACTAACAGCTGGGCTCTATTGCCTCCTTCCAGAAATGTTTCAAAATGCATGGGTGCTACCCAACCATCGTAGAATCTAAGAGACTCCTGGAATCCTTTATACTACATAAGAATGTCCGAGAGGCCCACAGAAAGGAGCTGTGACCAGCCAGGGCCAAGAAAGCTATCCATACTACCCAACGGCCCATTCATGCATTCATCAGTCACAATATTTATGAGCCTACTGTGGGTTAGGCATTGCTTGCCACTGGGAAAAAAAAAAAAAAAAAAGAACTGAGCGCCAAAGGCTATTCTACTACATTTGGTAACACCCCACTCTAAAGTAAAGTACATTCATAGACAACAAAGCAGAAAACTGCAACCTGATGGCCAATACCCCTTTAAGAAGTCTAGAAACTCCAATGTGGAGTCTGTGTAGCATCCACTAGGAATCTGTAAAGCAGCAGCCACAGGCAATCTGGTATGAGGCTGAATAATTTATACCTGCTCAAGAGGCTGTCTCTGCTTCCTGAACAGTTTTATCAGGCCCTACGATTATTTTGTAATGTAGAAATTGATCATTAATCAATGTTGCCTGAGCAACACACTTAGAATAATAAATCAAGAGAGGCTCCTCAGCAACAAAGCTCTGGGAAATTGCTGGCATATTAGCATTGACTGATTGCTGAGACATTGCTCTCCTGGGCTAAAGGGGTGGGGGCGTGCAGGATGGATGACAACAGGATGCACAAACAGATACTACAGGATGAGCAGAATTGATGAAATGGCACAAGGAATGTAAAATACATGCCCTAAGAATGACAGTGTCACATACTGAAGCAGAAAAAGCCGGCTTGAGCTGAGGCTCTGCCCACATCAGCTCTGTGCATCTCATTGCCCTCTGCAGGCTGAGTTCCCTCACCCTTACAGATGAGCTCATCTTTATGGTGGGGGTGAGATCATGCCTGCAATGCTGAACCCCAGAAGTTAATTGTTAAGCAGAGATGAAATTGTCGTGTCAAGAGTGAAAGCCCAAAAATGGAGGTGTTCCGGTTTGGAGGGGCGCTTCTCTACTCAAAATATTGACCTGATCAAAAACTATGAGCAGGGCGCCTGTGTGGCTGAGTCTGTTAAGTGTCTGACTCTTGATCTGGGCCCAGGTCATGATCTCAGGGTCATGGGGTCAAGCCCCAGGTTGCTCTCCATGCTGAGCGTGGAGCCTGCTGAAGATTCTCTCTCTCCCCCTCCCTCTGCCCCTCTTCTCCCCACTCATGAAGGTATATGCTCTTTCTCTCTCTCTAAAAAGAAAACAACAACAACAAAAACTATGAGCTAAGATGTATCAAAATACCAGGTTCCTTAATGGTAGTTGGACCTGATCTCTTTGCTTACTTCCAACATTTCTGTCTCTTCTTGCCTTTGCTTAAGCAGAACAGTTAAAAAAAAAAAAAATAGAATAAGAGGGGCACCTGGGTAGCTCAATGGGTTAAAGCCCCTTCCTTCAGCTTGGGTCATGATCCCGGGGTCCTGGAATCTAGCCCCACGTCGGGCTCTCTGCTCGGTGGAGAACCTGCTTCCCCCCAGCACTCTCTCTCTCTCAGAAAAAAATAGAAGAGATAACAAGAGGAAGGGGAGAGGGAAAACACACTTTCCTTGCAGGTAGAGACCATATACAAAAAGGAATATCTTGGGGCGCCTGGGTGGCTCAGTGGGTTAAAGCCTCTGCCTTTGGCTCAGGTTATGGTCCCAGGGTCTTGGGATCAAGCCCCACATCAGGCTTTCTGCTCAGCAGGGAGCCTGCTTCCCTTCCTCTCTCTCTGCCTGCCTCTCTGCCTACTTGTGATCTCTGTCTGTCAAATAAATAAATAAAATCTTTAAAAAAAAAAAAAAAAGGAACATCTTCACCATTCCCAGTAACCAGATAAGCTACTTCCCCACCCACAGTTTTTGTGCGGTCTCTCTTCCCATCTTATAGAAAACTGCCTTCTTGCTCTCATGGTCAGGGGAGAGAGCGCTCTGCTGTCTCTTTTTCTTTTTATAAGAGCACCGACCCTATGGACCTTTATGATCTCATTTAACTTTCATTCCTTTTTACAGGCCCTGTATTGAAATATAATCACATTGTGGGGGTTAAGACCTCAACCTATGAACTTGGAGGGGACACAGTTCAGTCTATAGTGATGCCTAAGATATAAGACTTCAGTGCCCAGGGAACCCCCCACCCCCTCTTCAGGAAAGAGCACAGCTGGGGTCTTATTCTGCTAATTCAAGCCACAATCATTTTATTGTTCATCATCATCAATGATGTGCCAGAAGCTGTAACATTCATCCATTCAAAATGCAAAGTGTAGGGAAGATCAAGATCTCTGGGGCTAGAGTGAAAGAAGAAGAAGGGAAACATGATAGAAGAGGGTAGAGAGGAGGTGGAGGTAGACTGTGTAGGCCTAGATGAGCACAGGAAGAACTTCAGTTTGGGGAATGAAAATGCTAGGCCACAGGCCTTGGACATATGCATTTGGAAAGGAGGAGAGGGGAAGCTGTATTTATTGTATGCCTGTTGTCCTTGTGAGTTCAGGCTGTTGCAACCAAAATCCCATAAACTGAGTAACTTCAGCAACAAACATTTATTTTTCCAAAGTTCTGGAGACTAGGGAGCCCACTACGGAGGTTCAGGCAGATTTGGCGTTCAGTAAGGCCCCACCTCCTGATTCATATACAACCATCTTCTTGCTGTGTCCTTACATGATGGGAAAAGGCAAGAAAGCTCTCTGGGGTCTCTTTTATAAGGACATTAATTCCATTTATGAGGGCACCCCTCTCGTGACCTAATCCCAAAGGCCCCACCTCCATATACTGTCACTCTGAAGGTTAGCATCTCAACATATGGGCTTTTGATGGGAAAACAGGACATAAACATTCTGCTTATAGCACTCATTATAGGTCAGGAACTGTATACTAGGTACTCAGCCTATGTTGATCTACATTTAAATATGCATAATATTTGCTGAGTGATAAACATAATCTGCAATTCTAGAAATCAAGACCTATTTTATATTCCAAATCAGCACTAAGGTGCGAGAGGAAGAGGTATGTATTTAAACCTCTCTGACCTTTCCTTGGTTCAAGATGGAATAAATGCATGATTTCACATGGGCAATGTGGAGGTCATATAAACAGCCTATTAAACTCAATCATACACATAATAACCTGTTTTCTATTCCACCTAGGAGGTTAAATATCCAACTTTTAATTTCCAAATGGTCTTATGCAATCATTGCAATTACCATCCTATTCAACTGTAGAGGTAATTTAAACTGTGGGTTGCATGTCCATCACACAACCTATTTGTAATGTGCGATTCTAGCTTGGATTCCAAGGATAAATATTACCTTCCAAACAAATACAAGTTGAAGGTAATTCACAAATAATAGCTTGCAAAGGAAATAAACTATATGCAGATGGCATGATTAAGAGAATTAACTGAAGAAATACTGGAATAAATAAAAGAATTCAGTAAGATGGCTGGATACAAGATAAATATACAGAAATCAATAGCTCTCCCACAAATCAATAATGTAAAAAGATCCCAAAATTTTATATACAGGCCTTTACAAAAATAGGTCTGGCTTTTATATACAAGTAGTACAAAACTGCTGTTTAAATACAACAAGAATGACTTGTGTGAATATGAACAAAAAAATAATTAGCTTTATTTGTAAATGTGATGTTCAAACACTGGGATAAGTGTTTTACAGATATCATTTGCCTAAAATGATTTTTGCACACCTTGTAACGTAGGTGTTGTTTTTCCGTGATATACAGATGTGGAAACTAAACCTCAGAGGAGTAATTTTCCCATGATGAGAAAGTCAGCATGAGATCTTCAAAAGGTAAGATCTGGGGAAGGGAGGTAGGGAGAGTGTGGTTGGGTTATGGACATTGGGGAGGGTATGTGCTATGGTGAGTGCTGTGAAGTGTGTAAACCTGGCAATTCACAGACCTGTACCCCTGGGGCTAATAATACATTATGTTAATAAAAAAAAAATTTTCCAAAAGGTAAGATCTGATTGTACAACTGCCCTATTGAAAACCCTTGTCTGACTTTTGTTCTTAAAGTGAAAACAAATCCTTGCAAAGTTTTGCTTAAAGGTCACTGCTACTTCTCTAGGCTTATTTCAAGCTACTTTTCCCTCCAGCTCTGTGAATTGGAGATTAACCCAGACTATCCTGACCCATCAAAGATAGGCAGAGCCATGTAGTTGAAGTAGAACATTTTCCCAAGTTAGTTTTTAGAAGAAATACATTTCAAAGCTTAGCTGGCAAGGGGCGAAAAAAATAACCTAAGGTGAAAATAGATTCTTCCCAAACAAAAAGGAAGAGAAGTTACGTGTGTTTTCACGAAGCTGAAAAAAAAAAAAAAAACACAACAACAACAAATAGGGAAGAAAATATGGACCATCCTCTCCTTCTCTTGTGAATATCCATGTAAAAATCTAAATAAAATACCAACAAACAGAGCCCAAAAGCACTCATGTTCCATGACCAAGTGGGGATTCTCTCAGGAATGCAAGGATTCCTGTAAGTACACTCCCTATTAATATAATACACATGTTAATAGAGCAAAAGAGATTATCATCTGTATAGATAATAAAAGACATTGATGGGGTACCTGGGTGGTTCAGCCGGTTGAGCATCTGACTCATTTCCGCTCAGGTTGTGATCTCAGGGTCGTGAGATTGAAGCCCATGCCAGGCTCTGTGCTGGGCATAGATCCTGCTTTAGATTCTCTCTCTCACTCTCCCTTCACCCCTCCCCCTGCTCGTGCTTGCTCTCTCTCTCTCTCAAATAAATCTTTTAAAAATGAAATACAATGGCAAGCTACACATTGTCAACAGAGCTTAATTTCACAACCAGGTTAATATGGCAAAAGTCAGAGAAAACAGATGCAAAATCTGGATTTGGAAACCAGCAGGGGAGAACGTAAGCTACCTGAGAATGTGCAGACATTTTGAGGCGGGCTTTGGATTCTGAGGGGGAAGCTGAATGGGGGGTTCAAGCTGATGTACTCTGAATCCTGAAGCGGCCAAGAGAATCCAGCTGATGCTTGAGTAGGATACATAATAAAAGCATTGAAAAAGTGTGATAGCAGAGACACCTGCCAACGGCCCAGGGACAGTATTAAAGAAGGTCCAATGCTGTTGGGAGAGGATTCACAGACAGACAGCAAGGCAAAGGCATTCTGGGCTGAGCCAAAAACACGGAGGCCCAAAAGATAGAGTGTTCTAGGGGGTGTCAAGAGAAATGACACCCTGCTGGTGCCAAGCAAAAGTGTATATCTCCAGCCTTCCAGTCCAACTCAGAAGTGGCCCAGAGGGACAGTGGTGAAGAAGAATCCTCCAGGAGTCAGAACTCGGGCAGTACACCCTTGGCCAAGGGAGAATTAGAAGCCTGGAGCTGTACCAATATACAGGTAGTTGCCAATCATGGCTGGGTGGGGAGCTTCTTAGAAAGAGCAGACCTGTGAGGCTGGTGACAGGGAGACTTGTAGGAAGTATATAAGGAGGGACACCTTGGAGTAGGCTCAGAGTGATCCTGTGAGACATAAATCCTAGGGAGAGAGGGTTCCCGGTAATCTGATGGGCAAGATGGCGTGCTCTCTGGCTGTCCTTCAGCCCTTCCCCCCCCACCCCTGTGCTTGCTCAATGGATCCATGTGCAAACTGACCGGGGTGGAGGCCATCCGTGAGTTCAACAGTGTGGACTTCTCCCCACCAGTGTTAACCAGGTGCTCAATCTGCCAACAGTGGAGACCAGCACGGAAGCTCAGCAGGGACCCATTCCCTTCAGGGAACAGCCAACCACCACATGGCAGGACAGAGAACTAGAGCCCCTCCATTGCGGGTGGGGCAGAGATACAGCCTCCCTGGAACAGATACATGCTCTGCACGTGGGTATTGTCCCTCTCCACAGTGTTTCTGCAGCCACGCCCAAGCATGGGTTCATAGCCTACCCTATTCAAGGTCATGACATTTCCCCCATGTTGATTGCTCCTGATCAAGAAATATGTATGCCTCACCACAAAAGAGCTGCCTCCTTGGGCTCATGCCCGTGGAATTCACGGGTGGGTCACGCACCCCTCATGTATGAGCAGTTGGCCTCATGGGCTAGAGAAATGGCCTGCAGGGGGCTTAGTTACAAAGCCATTGCAGAGGCAACAGCCAGAAAGGATGGAGTTCTGTCTATGGAATGCAATATATGCTTGGATTGAGCAACCAAATCGTGGTGCTGTTTCTTCTCCTGGGGCCAGGAATCAAGGGGTGAAGGTGGGAGTATCTCCTCTCACTCTCACATCCACGTGCAGGCTTTTTGCTCCCCCTCTTAGCAACTTTGAGCTCTGCTGCTTTGGAAATCTTCGTTTCAAGGGGACAAAGCTTCCATCAGGGGACACAACAGTAATTCGTGGAGTTAGAAAATAGGAGTACTATCTGGACATTTTGGATTTCTTATGCCACTGAACTAACAAGAAAAGCAAAGAAGGAAGCATCTCTACTGGCAGAGAAGACTGGTCCCAATCATGAAGAGGACGTGGGGTTGTTGCCATATCATAACAGTAGAAGGACTTGTGTGCACCAGAAAATTCTCTGGAGTTTCTCTCAACACTTCCTTAACAGCATGATTAAACATAGGGGTTGACCTTTCCAACCCTTCGGAAATAAAAGTTTGAATTTTACCACCTGGTAAAGAACAGAAACAGCTGAGCTCTTGATTGAGGACAAAGGAATTAAGAGATGGGGAGGAGGAGGAGGAGGAGGAGGAATGCATAGTAACAGCTTCACTATCATGGCCAGTTACAGACGCAAGAACTATAGAACGATGCAGATCTTCCTTGCTTGGTGTGTGTGTCTGTGTGCGTGTGTGTGTGTGAGCACACACACATGTGCACACACACCTGTATACTCTCTTCTCTTCTTCCCTAATTTCTTCTACAAATCTTGGTAGGGCAGTTAACTTGACAAGTCAGTCACTAAGTAACAGATTATTCTGATGAGACTCTAACTTGTTTTGGAGAGTAAGTAATACTGCCCAGAAATGGACATAATGACCCTTGTGACTTTGAGTCTCCTCATTTTGGGGAGCATCTGTTGTTAGGTGAAAACATCGAATTGTCTGTGTTGTTGGTGGAAGTTCAAATCCATGAAGAAGGTGTGGATGAATACTGAGTAGCCAAAGAGTGGCTTGTGCTAGCTTTTTAGCTGTTGTATTTCAGCTCCAAGCCCCTGTTTCCGTACTGTGCTTTGCGTTGCGGGGCCCAGGACCTTGCAAGCACGTTTCTCCTTTGCTGCTACTCCTGCTTGGCCTCTGCCACTTTGGGGACCAAGAGGCTGGGGGAGCAAGAGGAGACAAGCTCCTTCCTGTTGCCACTTCTGATCCCATCAGCTCATCGCCCCAGCAAGCTTTTTGGCCCCAGCCATGGTAGTTTATCCCAAAATAAATTCCAGCTGATTATGGTTTGCAGGTTTTTCAACACTTCCAGAAGCAGCCTCCTTGTGTTCCCTCAGTGATACCAACACTAGCACCAAGTCATTCCTTTCTTTGGAGGTCTGACGGTTCAATTCTGTAGGGCCTCTTCTCCAAACTTCTAGGTTTAATAATTCTAAGATTTTTCCCTTTGTTCCTTCAGCCCTCGAGGTAGAGAGTTCTGGCAGGTACTCCTTCCAAGATATCTTCCTGTACTCTTCTTCCTTTTCAGGGCCTCATTTTGCATCAGTCCTTTATATAATAATAGAATTACAGGTGGGTAAACTTTCCATAAAGAGTTTGGTAGTAAATGTTTTCAGTTTGTGGGTCATATGGCTTCTGTTGTAACTAATCTCCCCTCTTGCTATCTTTTTTTTTTTTTTAAGATTTTATTTATTCATTTGACAGGCAGAGATCACAAGTATGCAGAAAGGCAGGCAGAGAGAGAGGGGAAGTAGGCTTCCCGCTGGGCAGAGAGCCCGATGTGGTGCCCGATCCCAGGACCCTGGGACCATGACCCGAGCCAAAGGCAGAGGCTTTAACCCACTGAGCCACCCAGGCACCCCCACCCTCTTCCTATCTTCTGGCCTGAAAGCAGCCATACACTAAACACTTGAATGTGTGGGTGTTGCTATATCCCAATAAAACTTTATTTGCAAAAGCACGCAATGGACAGGATTTGACCCACCCATCTTAAATTATTCTGTACAAGTAACTAGTGTATTTCTCTTTCTCCTTCCTGGACCCAGATTGACACAGTGGGCATGAGTCTTAAAGCCACATTCCAGTGAAACATTCTGAGAAGGGTTCTGATCCTGTGTCAGAACAATCAGAGGCAATGACATGATTGAGAGAGAGTTCTTTTTTTTTTTTTTTTTAAGATTTTATTTATTTATTTGACAGATAGAGGTCACAAGTAGGCAGAGAGGCAGGCAGAGAGAGAGAGGAGGAGGCAGGTTCCCTGCTGAGCAGAGAGCCCGATGCGGGGCTCGATCCCAGGACACTGGGACCATGACCTGAGCCGAAGACAGAGGCTTTAACCCACTGAGCCACCCAGGCGCCCCAATTGAGATAGAGTTCTTACTGCTGCCTAAGAAATGATGTTCTTACCCTCTGGACTCAGAGCTAAAAAATAAGTTTTCATGGAGCTACTAATAGTCACTCTAGCCCCAAGAGGGGAGAGGCTACCTGAGAATGAAGTCAATACAGAGAAAAGTTCATTGGGGAATATAGAGCCTTATTCGGATGAGATCATTAAACCCCTAGATCCAGCAGTGCCTGAAGCCCATAGCTGAAGTTTAAGAGTCATAGATTACCTTTTGTCTTAAACATTTTGACTTCAATTTCTGTAACTCGCAGCTCAAGGAATTTTGTCAAATATAGAGGCACAAATAGGAAAACACAATAGGTCCAGAATCTCTTAGATTACCATCATTCATTCATTCATTTAACAAACACATGTGAAGTGCTTAAGTTTGTCAAGCACTCTGTAGAGGCAAAATATATAGCCCCAGTCTTCAGCAATTACTGGATCATTTTAGAAAATTATTGCTAAGCCTTCCAACATGATGCATTTTTACAACAAAGGCGATTAATCAAATCCTGATGCTTAACTTAAAAAAAAAAAAAAAAAGAAAAAGCATTTGAAGGAAAGCTTGCACTCTTAGATACCCTAGCCCAATAATTATTACAAATCTCAGTCTGAACTCATGCGTTTAAGAAATCAAAGCTTTCTTTATTTCCTATAACTCCGGTTAATTTCTAGTTTAAGCCTCATTCCTTTTACCTGAAGGTCTTAGGTTCTTCCCTACTCCTACCTCCAAGGTTATGGTAAGGTTCTACTGGTTTTTCACTCTGCCAGTTCATCAAGGAGGACAGAGGTCTATGTTCATTGAGCCACATAGAATACACATGAAGCTTACCTTGTTTCAGTCTGTTATCCCCTTCAGGTCTGTGGCATACACTGCTTGTTGCTTTCCAAATACCTATCTTCCTTTCTTCCTTTGTAAGAGAATTCCATTATAAATGCTAAACTCCTCAGTCTCCCTTTCAGCTAGACACAGCTGTGTGACTAAGTTCTAGCTGGTGAGGTATAAGTAGATGTATCATAAGTGACTGCTGGGACAGATCTTTCTGAAGGGGTTGCTTTGCCTGGGAGAAGCACTCTTTCAACCTTCCTCCTGCCAAGAAAGCAGATGTGGTGGCCTGTGCCCTGGCAGCCACCTTGGAATATGAGGCAACCTTGAAAAAGGAAACCATAAAGTGAGGCTAGAGGAACAAAAAGATAGAAACCCCTGATTGCTTTGTTGTCACTGGCACACCAGCTCTGGACAGCTGGTCTTCTGTGGGTTTGTTTAGACCACTTTGTGGACTACTTAAGCCACAAGATTAGGACACAGTGGTCTCTGTCACTCACAGGCATATGCAATTCCTGCTTCAAAATCTACTAGTTCTCTCTGCTGCTCTGCCACTTCAGAAACCTAGGAATCTATACGAGGCCTCTTTCCTAAGTCTGGGGAAAAGGCCTTCTGTGATCAAACCCTTTTCTTATTAACGGGTTCAAGATTTTGAAGTGGGAGAGAGGAAAAGGAGATGAGAGTGCCACAAACGCAGCCCCAGGCACACACAGAGCCAACTCACTGCTTAATTGGGGGTGGAGGGAGAAGAACCAGGAGACAAAAAGAAAACAGCACACATCTCAACAGCATGACCCAACAACACACGGTTCCTGAGTAGGTTTTGCAAACTATTCCTCAGCCTTCCTCTGAGAGCATTAATATTTCCGTCTTTTCTTTCTTTCTTTTTTTTTTTACCCTAGCAACAATTTCTGCAAGATAACACTTCTACAAAGAGTTGTAAGTTTCCATCTAATAAACAGTGCCAATTCAGAAATTCATAATACATGAAAGCAACCCTGAAGGCCATGAAATCAGATAGA